GTGATGCCAAATCTTCTCCATGTCATCCCAATTGGTGACAATGCCTGTAGCACGTCATCCGGATAGCTACCAAACTTTTGGTGGTTTCCGAGATCCAGGTGACACGTGCCATATCGTGCCGCATGGCTGTCATGCCACGTTCTGTTTCACTAAACAGGAATAGTGCAGTGCTACAAAACTCAATGCTGAATGACAATGAGATGCATGCATGGATTGAAAAACAATCGAATGAGTCTACAGCTCAGTCGAGGCTTTCACATATCCAACCCCATCCTGCCCCTTTATTAAGAAAACTTGCTGCTTCCTATTAGGTTGGAGGCCATTGCTTGTAGGTAATCTCTTTCCAACTCAACAAATGCCCCTCAACGCCCAGATGCCGTGCTCAATGGGATATTTCAAGGTCAACACACCTCGCTTGCTCTGTGCTTCATCGCCCACATAGCTATCCTCAGATTTGCTGAAACACGTGAAGTCGGGCTATCTATGTTGTCCCCTTCAGCTCTCGAAAGAAGGGGTTAACAATGGTTAACATGATCTTGACCTTTGCGCATTTCTTGGAGACAAGCTAAAGGACAACCCTGACTGGGCCGGCTTGAAAGTGAAACACAAGAGTTGAAAACAAGACAAGGAAGAACTGGAAACCAAATCCAAGTCTCCTTCTGGTCCATGCCAACCATGATTCCTGGCATCTTCGGTCGACCAACGATGGATGGGAAAACTGCTCGGGGAGCATCGTCACCAGCAAAACCCGCTTTGCACATGCCACTGCCGTTGTCAACGACCAATGCGGCGACCTCCTCAGGGAGATGGTATTGGACTGCCTTTCTTCTTTGGGCCGATGCCCCTCTTCTGTTACATCATGTTACATCATTTGGCTCATGTCACAGGCAATCAATCACAAGCACAAAAGCTCCTCGTCACCCATGGCAGCAGTCTATCAAAGAACGAAGAGGGCGGGAGTTGCAAAGCCGACTGGGGCACAATATGGGCTTGGGCCATAGGCAAAGCGGCCGTTGATGCTCAAGGAGACCGAAGTGTTTCTACGTTCGCTTCTTGTTACTACTAGTAAGGCACTTGTTACTAGTAGCGTGGCACTTGTTTCTACTAGCTTCTTGTTACTACTAGTAATTACATACTTTTGTGTGTTGAAACGTAACTTGAAATTTGGCTTGACTTTGGATTGGATCTCCTGCTGCTTTCCCAAGCTCAACTTGCTTGCCAAAAAACGCACATGTTCAACTGGAATAGATGAGCAACCACAAAAGTCGAACAACTTTATCCACATGAAATGAACACCCAAATGTTCGCCTAGGAGCATGATTTACCTCCCTGAATCAACAAACTGCTCTCAAAGCAAAGGCAGTTTCTGCTCTTGGAAGGGGATGTTTTGGTTTGTCTCCGTCCATGTGCCCAACATGGGTTGCCGGGCCGGCACTCGTCAGTGGTTCGGGCCATAGGATCCGCTCCACGCAGCATCAAGAGCTTTACCTCAAGTCACATGAAGCCGAACCGTTCTTTTCAAAAGGTAAGGGCCCCTCAACACGGCCCCCTTTTAAAGGAACCTAATTCTCTCTACCCGCGTGTCTGTTATCTTTTTGCTTTAATATATTTTATTCAAACTCAAACATCATGGTTCCACCAGGGTTCTGTGAAACGCTAAATGGAAGGCCTTAGGTTCTTTACCTTGAACTGCTATGTTTTGACCATGTCTCCCCCCACCGCCCCAAAGTGTTTCGGCCTCTTTGACGTGGGAATCCTTGTGGATTGTGATCGTTTAGAGCTAAGGACTGTGTCCCACTGAATAAGGTCTCCATCCAAAATTGCGTGTATGCCTTCAGTGATCCGGGACCTCTGCGTCATGTCTTGGGTATCACTTGGTATCCATCAACTCTGAGGCTCTGACAACTTCCAACTGCTCATGAACCACAGCCTCGGACTGATTGAAGCTCTTTTGAGACTTTGAGAAGGCTAATCACTGCCAGTGTGACCTGCGCTTAAGGCTTCGGCGAGATGCAACCTGAGGCAAAGGAAGGGGAAGTGTAGACTTCTAGACTCCGAGGTCAGGTTATAGAAAGGTATTTCATTCTCGACAATCATGTCCAATCAAAGAAATTGCTGAGGCGGGCTGAGGCAGTTTCTAAGGTTTTTCCATGTCTGTCCTGAGTAGATAGCTATAACACTAAGAACCTACTTAGATATGCACAGGGAACCATGACCGACCTTGATTTTGATGCAAAGGACTGTGGGCTTGTTCCCTAACTTGGTCATCCACCTCATCCGATGTTGACAGCGGTTTGCATGCGACATTTGAGTGGCTGGGGACTGATATGCACCAGAATCTGTGGGAACTTGGACACTTTGTTGACAGCTTACATAGAAATACACCCACAAGTCACTACTTAAGGTTTGCCATTGTTGATGTGACCTGACACTACCTCTTATAAAAAGAAGTGGTCGAGAAGGCTGTCCAAGACCAGGTTCAGCTTGCCTGAGACTGTGGTTTGGGATCTTTGGGCATGGCTTTTGGGAGTTTTGGCACTAGAACGACTATGGTTTAAGTGAACCCGTTCTTGTTTTTGGCTTGTGTTGCTTCGTGGAGCTTTAGAGAAATCACCATAAACCACCTCGTAACCCCTCACTTCTTTCAGAGCCACGGAGTGATTCCGTTGGCGTAGCAATGTTGAAGATCTGCCTTGGAATCCAAGAGATCTGCCACTGTCCTAGGAGAAAGGCCGATCGAACCTTCGGAATCTTTGTGTCAGACACGGTCTGACGGCGGACTGCATGTAGCTTCCAAAAGGGAATCGTTTCACCTATAGTAAGAAGCCTTGTAGTATGTCTTTGATCGCTACTAGTAACAAGAAGCTACTCGGGGCTCCTGGCCTTACTACTAGGAGCAAGGACGCTACTAGGGGCTCCTGGCATCGCTACTAGGAGCATTCTTACTAGTAACAAGTTATTAGGGTGGAGGCCATCGCTACTAGTAGGATTGCTCTCAAAGGTCTGACGGCGGCGTTGGACGATATTCTGTATTGGTCATGTTTACACCCAAAAAGCGAAGCAACGCTACTAGCGATGCCAAAAACACAAGTTCCTTACACTGAATTCAACCTCTTGTAGCAAACAGCCACAGCCCAAGCACAAGAGATGTAGAACAATACCTCTCATCTACCTTCTTGAGTCCCCCTGAAAGCAAGTGACTACACTCAAGCAAACTCAAGCATCTCATTGAGCCCTTCAGGAGAAGGAGCCACCATGCAAATCACGCAAATCCAAAGAAAACCATTTTGAAAAACAGCTGAGACATGCTGAGACACTCTTTGTCACCGCTCTTGATGGCTTCTTTCAGCTCCTGACAATTGAAGGTTATAGATTGATTTCAACTTACGAAAAAGAGTGCCCCTGGTCACTTTTGTGCCCTCATTTTGGCAGTGCAAATATGCATACCACAACCATCTACAAGTTGTGACTCTTTCAGCAATGCACGCTGCTTGTTCGGCCATCCTCCGTATCGTTGTTGTCGCTCTCACTGAACTCGGCACATGGCATCTGGATCATGGCACTACTAAATGAGGCCTGAAGCGGCCTTGTTGGGTGGAAGCATTCTGGTTCAAAGGAGGCCGTATGGGACTATAGGAAGCCTTCTTGCTTCTCAAACGTCCTTGTGAGTTGTGAGGGGTAGTGAGGTCCGGTCCATATCCCTACCAAGAGCTTACTAACTTGTTGACTTCACCATATTTGATCTTATTTTGTTCCTAGTAGTACGGCCAGGAGCCCCTAGTAGCGTCCTTGCTCCTAGTAGTAAGGCCAGGAGCCTCTAGTAGCTTCTTGTTACTAGTAGCGTTCTCATTTTGTTCTGGATCTCTCATGCATGTTTTGCTTGACTGTACTGGTCCTTAGGACTGTACTGGACCAAGCGAGATGAATGTATAGAACGTGCGGTGCGGCACAATCAAGTGAACGCTCGAGTTAAACAAGTAGCGTCCTCTGTTCCTAGTAGTAGGAATGCTCCTAGTAGTACGGCCAGGAGCCCCTAGTAGCGTTCTTGTTTCGCTTCGAACTCCGCGATCCAAAGCGGTGGCACCTTTTCGAGTTCGCTCGGAGAGTCCTCAAACCCAATCGGTCATTGAGGAATCCAGCTTCTCAGATGAGCGTGGGAACTAACGTAGCAAAATACTGAAGATCTGTTACTGATGTCTTCTTTTTCTCCAGCATGATTCAACATTCATGCTTTTTCGAGCAGGACTCCCAACCATTTAGAAAATCAGAGTGCTTTTCCAGTTGCTAATCAATTGATAGCCCACTTGAGTTTTGTTGCTTACCGCTTGCCTTCATCTGAGCTCCGGCACTCTCGAGCCAACCATAACTAGTCGTGCTAGCCCTGGCCAGAATTTCGGCAGCGAAGGGTCATGGAAATCAATGGAGTCTTTGTGCTCCTCCAGCTATCAACACGCCGACACCAGTTGCCACCTTCCATGCCAAACAGATTGTATATAGCTGCTCTCTGCTATTCACACAGGATCCAACCAGCCACTGACGAGTCCAAACACAGGCTGAGAACATGTTGGGTTGTCAATGGTCTCTGACTTCAATGCATTCATGCATTGGAGTCATTGGAGAACTTTGTAGTAGTACAAAGCCAACTCTGTAATTAGTGTGCATGCCAATCCTTGTGTCTACAGTGCCAGCTAAAAAGCACCCTCAGGCAGAGGAGACAACATGGATGCCGACTGCGACGGTCTACTCTGCACTCTGCGTAAACTGGGCAAACTTTGCACGGTTCAACACGTGGGATAGACATGGAGAGACCATGTCCAAATGCTTCAAGTCGGGGGAAACCGTTCGTAGGAACACTGAGATAGAGGTGCCTGGTCTTCTGCTCTTACAATTTCCAACAAGTCTGGGTTCAAGAGACAGGTAAGACGTTCTATCTTCCCTTCTCTCAACCACCCGGTTGTTGAAGATTTGTTCAGAACTTGCCGTACAAAGACTCCCAGTGATGGAAGCTTCGCAGAGAATTGGAAGATCAATGGGCGTAAACCCAATACCTAAACGTTGCAGCATCCGCGATCCAAGTGAACAAACAAATCCCCTCGATTCTGAAATTCAACAAAGCAAAGCTAAACACCTGAGGTAACTGTCTTAAATCCCCATACCCTGTTGGACACCAAAAAAACTGCCCAACTTCATGACGTGCATCTGATGCAGTCACAATTGCTCTTTTGAAGTTTATATGCAATGGTAATCATGTCATTGTGCTCTTAAATGACATCTGCCAGATTCAACATGAATGCAAACTTGATGTTGTACTTTTTGCATGCCTTTCTCTAACATGTCAAGCAAAGGAATCAAAAAGGACAGCTTCATAGCTACCAAGTCCAGGTTCACGAACACATTTGAGCACATCAAAATGGCACTCAAATGTTCAGCTGTCGTATCTGTTCAGACTCCTCGCGTCAATGGAGACTTTCGGCAAAAAACACATACCTTACAGAAGGAACCCAGGCTTGGTTGTGGGAGGTCAGCAGCGAAGTGCTGCAAAATACTCGTGTTCTGAACACTTATGGTGTCTACATCCCATGAAACTGTTCTGGAAGGGATCCCAATCCCAACTGAGGCTATGGTCATGCTTAAAATTATTCTCGACACATGCGACATCATGCCTTGAAAGTTGCATAACCTAGTTGCATAAAAACCTTAGACTCTGAACCTTCTAAAAAGGACTTTGACAAAGGTCACTTGGGCGGCCCATGCCTTGATGCCTTGATGTCCCGGTTCACCTTCTTGCTCTTCAACATTATCGTTATCTCTTCTAATAAATCCGCTCGCACATGCATGTGTCGTGAATGGTATGCTTTAGGGCCCTCTCCTTCTCGATGGCGTCACCTTTGAGCCCCCTCTCTTCCGCGTACTCAGCACGATGGAGAGCCACCCTTGCTGGTTGGCCAAGCAAAGCAAAGGTCAGAGGCAAACGATTTAAAGGATTCTTTGAGTATAAGTATACTGTAAAGGATAGTAAAGGTGTGGAGGGGTTTCGCCTGTCGGGATGCTTCTGTTGGGCTTGGAAAGCAGAGGTCGCATTCGAACCTTTTGAGCTTGCATTAAAGAACCACCATCAGGCCTTCCGTCTTGAACCTAAAGGTGTTATGCTTTAGATTCTCTTGTGTGTGCTCTACAAACTTGGGCGAATGGGCAGCATGCATGGCTGACCTGAAACCAAGGGAATGTCAAACGAATTGTTCGATTGGGGAGATGACAAAGTCGAAAGACATACAATGACATCAAGCATCTCTGCTACAGAGGTCCTTGCGACGAATGGAAACATGTTGCAGAAATTCCGTGTCTCAGTCGGCGAAGTGACAAAACTTGTTACTACTAGCGATGCACTTGTTCCTAGTAGCTTCTTGTTACTACTAGTAAGGCACTTGTTACTACTAGCGTGGCACTTGTTTCTAATAGCTTCTTGTTACTAGGAAGCAAGGTCTCACATAAAAAAGCAAGCTATCCGCCAACTTGTTCGGACTTTCAGGAGCTCTCCCTGTCACACGGTCGTCACCGGTGTGATTTTCTGCCGCCTGGTGCCCAGGTAGTCTTCCGCTTTCACGGGAGGATATGTCGCCAGCTGTTGGAAGCCCGCAAATGCCGGCCCATCAATCTGCAGTTCCAACGGGATGGGCCGTGGGCGAGCCAGGAACGTCGTCAACAGGAGGCCCACTCTAAAATAGGTAGACCGGTAGACCAGCAAGGAAGCAAGTTCAACATGACAGCTCCCTATGTTCAACAAGTCGACACAAAAAAGAAGAAACACCTTTCAGAGAGTTCCCAGGAATCGCAGTGTTAGGCTCATTTGATCCAGACCTTTTGGATCCTTTTGGGTCATTCCGATGTGCAAACATGAGAGTTCTGGCGTGCCTTGGGCGACAAGGCCCCGGTGATGATGGAGAGACGCTCGTGACTCTTCTCGTTGAATAAAACGCCTTGCGCAAATAAGTGCAACTTCATGCACAGCGCAACTTCTTTTCTGTCGCTTGGATGATTGGATGTTTGGAAAGATGCCCTTGCAAAAACCATCGCGCATATGAAGAATAATGAAGAATCTGGAGTTGGCCATCATTCACCTCTGTTCCGGTGGTCGTTTGGCTTTAGACTCTCAACACAAGCCACAATGTATTCTTTTTGGGACGTGCTAAGCTGTCTGACCAGGAAACATGTCAGTGCATGGCGGATTTCCGATAAAAGAACAAAGACTTGTGCGGAATTTGAAGCAGGTGACCTGCCGCAAGTCATTACGAATCACTTTCTCTCGCGTTGACCTTTTTGCGCCGAGGTGCGATGCACTGAGGCCTTCCACTTGTTCCCGGTCCAACGGGAGAGCAGCGCACCCACATTGAGCACGAAGGAGTCCGGGATGAAGGGCACATCCGCCCAAAGGCGCTCCTAGGCGACCAGATTTGGGCTATTGAAGAGGATGACACTGAAATTATTTCCTTTTTTTCTAATAGCAATGACCTCCACCCCAATAGCGATGGCCTCCAACCAAATAGCAATGGCCTCCAACCCACTTGCGATGGTCTCCAACCTAGTAGCGATGCCCTCCAACATTTGCGCTATTGAAGCGGTGGATGCCGCAAAAAGGATGAAAAAGGTGTGAGCGCAGGGACGATAGTGACTCCTACTGGATGCTTGTGGCAAGCTATTCGGGGATCTCAGTGCTGGAGAGAACATGCGTCTGTGGGTTGTCAAGGTTTGGTAAAACAACAGTTGTAACACCCTTTCTCGAATGATGCACTTCAACCTTCGTAGTAACGAGGACAAACAGTTTGGTAAGTGCAATGCACACCATGTGTTGTGACAGGCGATTCCAGTGTCAAGCACTCCTCGCGATGTGGTATTCCTTAGAGTGCTACCAACATCCATGTACACAGTATACAGTATATTGATATACCACCAGCCTGCGATCCTGTGGATCCTGGACATCGTAATGATGGCCAGTCACTGGTGGTGAAATTATAGAGAAGTGATTTCTGTCCTATCTCCTAATGAACGCTACTAGGGGCTCCTGGCACTACTACTAGGAACAAGCAGCTACTAGGGGCTCCTGGCACTGCTACTAGGAGCAAGAACGCTACTAGGGGCTCTTGGCACTACTAAGCTAGTGGCGGCCATGATTCCCGAGTTCAGCTGTCGCCCAATGGCCAAACTACTGCTGGGTGGTTTGGTGGCTGCGGATGCTTTTGTTGGACTGCCACACTGTTATGCTGTCATTGTATTTCTATGCGCGTCTCCAGAATGTAGAAGGGATTGTAGGTCAGACTCAGCATGAAAGGTGCAGACAATTTTCCAAAGTAAGGTACATACCAAACCCAAACATAGTGACTAGATCGTGACGGCTTTGTCTGTGACGTGTAGTAACTATGTTTCACTACGATGGGGTGTGGAGTCGACGACACCGCTTGCCTGGTCCTTTCCGTTGGTCCCAACACCGCTGATGTCCACCTGGCAATGTTCGAAACTGCGACAAGCGAAAGGCTCGTAGCGCATTTTCCACAAGCGCATTGCAGGCGAGCTCTTGACAAGAGGCCGTCGTCATACATCCGAAACGCACAAAAGAACCATTTTAGCCGAAACGGCCTGTTGGAACATGCTTTCGAGCCTGCAAACCATGTGGATTGGCTGGGTCCAAGCTGATCATGGTGACCTCCGGATGGCCGTGGCGTATGGTCTTCACAAATAAGACACACTGTTCGAAAGCGTCCTGCCCCATGTATCTCATTTCCTGTCAAGGCTGCATTTTAGGGAACGTTCATTTCCTGCGTCATGACCCGGACGCACCTTTACCGCCAAGCGACACCTCCAGAATCCACATGTTGGCCGTAGCCCATCTGGCCATCTTTTGGCCCCTCCTGGTGAAAAGTGTTTGGCTTTGCCTCTGTGATTGGCTTTGCAGTATCTAATTCATTCTATTTCTTTACACTTCAGAAAGACTGCTATGGGACTTCGTTAAGTTGCAGTATACTGTTGAACACTCTGCTACCCTGCGGGGTAGCGACCGTAGGGAATCTCGAGAAAAACATTCTGGGGATGAGCATTAGCAGTCGATACTTCACACACTTTCAAAGAAAGGCAGTCTTTTCTTGTGTGTTGACACCAAAGCCATGAACATTTGATGCCGCTTAAACCAACCTGCCGAAACGTTTAAAGCTTTCTGCTCCTTCTTGGAGGGATAATAGGCCAGTCGGAGGCCGGCATTCACGGGATCGATGACCAAGTCCAACTCCTTGGCACGGTGGAGTGGTCCGAAGTCATGTCGGTGGAGATTCGTTTAACACTGGTGTGATGGCAAGGTACATATGTATATACATAATACAAATAGTTGTAAATCGACAAATATAGAATATTGAAATCAGATCAGATTAGTGTTAATTCTACGTTCGCATTTCCCAATCTTTCCACGACGTCGGACACCAAACAGCGGCAATGTTTGACGCACGGCGCTACGGTATGCTTCGGCATGCTTTGCCTCGTTGGTGACGTTGAGCGAGAGCTGCAGAGCCTTGGCCACGAGCTTCGCAAGGCCCTCGATGGCATGGAGGAATGAGGCTGCCGACCTGTAGGGGACAACTAGGGCCTCCAACCTACTAGTGATGGTCTCCAACCTGGGGCGATGTGAGAGATACTGAAGATTTTAAGATTTTCGCGTGGTGAGACTCCCACGTGTAGATGTATTCACAAGCCAGCGCAGTGCTGCTTCAAACTGCATGGACGTTTTGGTTGGAGATTCAAAGAGCCAACAACCCTGGCTTAACTCCTACCAAGCCACTCCAACACTGCACTTGGGAAGGAACCTGGGTCGCTCCGCAGTCTGGAGAGGAACCAGGCTTGGAGGTGAGCCAGGGTGTGGTCCGGGGGTAGCCCGAAGAGAATCTGAAGCCACACACCCAACACAGTATCTACTCCAAATAATTGCTCACTCCTTCACCCATCTTCACCTTATTCGTCATCGCCTGTCAGCACTTGGTTCGGAATCAGTTCCGCCTGGACAGCACCGGTGGAGTACTTTCTTCCATCTCGCACCCACTGATGTCCTCGGGACAAATTTCTAGGTTGGTCAGCAGGCGCATGTAGCTCGGTGACAGGAAATACTTGAGATAATGACCTTTGATTCACGGGCACGTTTGTTTGCTTCAATCGCTTAAACCAAAACACAACAAAGCTGTGGCGCAAGTCATTGTCTCACAGTCCATGACCGCTGGACAGAATCGAACTTGTCAAACCCATGTCGCTTCACAAGATTCTAACATGCCGCAAGAAAGAATGCACGTTTGCACATGTTTGCACATGAAACACCAATAAACCTACCTGACTCTACCGCTCGTCCTTGATGCTGCAATGCCCATCCTTGGCGCCTTCATCCGTTCCCCGGAGCTGGATGCCCTCCACACCCGCACGCAGCCCGGCGAGACCCGCATGCAGCGACTCGACCATGTCCACTGGCCTGTGGAAGATGTTTGGATGCTCTTAGCTTGGGCATGTCGCTTTTCAGATGCTATGTTGTTCACATCATGGCGGGCCTATAGGGTGGCTTAACTGAAACTGGCCAAAGCGCCTGGAAAAGTCTCCCAAGAGCTGAGCACCGCTCTCGCGCTGATTGTTGTACCCCCCGAAGCCGTAGCCTGGTGAGGGCGTGGGTCCCAAATGGAACGAGAGAGGAGACGACGATCAATGACGATCGACGACGATGTATATCAGAGATCTGGCGCTTGAAGCAACTCAGTCGGCCAACGAACACGGGCTTAGCCTGGCTGAGGAGCAAAACATGACACAAACTCAAATTGGGTTGGGGACCAATGTTCCACCAAATGATTTGGCAATCTAAATCACAAAGGAGCTTAGCTCCGATGCTCATCATGACTCATGATGCTGCTGATGCCTTTGCCCTTGTCGAACTTCTTCTTCTCTTCAAGTGGCGACCGGAAAAACTGGTACCTCGGATGAACGCTCGATGGTGGCAGGTCGAATACAGTAGCTGCAAGCGGCTGCAAGTGTGAGTCCAGGGACTAGTTGAACATAGAAGCCGACCATGACCGACACTTTCTCCCGAGCTTTTTTTAATTTTGATTGCTGGTAAAGGTCGTCACATATCTTTTTACAGGTCGCCTACTTCAGAAGTAAAAAAGCACTTTGGATAGCCATTCCATCCCAGCAACATGTGGAGGAACATCCAACCTAGTAGCGATGGCCTCCAAACCTACTAGCGATGGCTTCCCAACCTAGGCGCGATGGCCTCCCAACATCTCCCAACCTAGTAGCCTCCAGAAATCCAGTGAATTTTGCATCAAGCCGCGCTTTGATGCGGAGGTTCCGCATGTGCTCTGGCGGCACCGGGTGCCCGGTGACCACCGCGAAGCCCGTGCGCTCGAAGGCCTCGGAGAGCCTCCCGAGGTGACGCGGTGACATGCCGTGACTCCCAGTGTTTGGATGCCTTGACACTAATAGCTTCAGTTACTAGTAAGAATGCTCCTAGTAGCGTTCTTGATGCCACACTTGTCGAAGCCCACTTCATGCACCTCACCTCAACCTCACCTGCCCCTTGCACCTCCGTGCTGCGACTTTTTGCTCCTCCTGGGTGCCGTTCTGCAACGCTGCGATGTCCAACACTGGGATGGCCTTCGCATGGGTGCTGATGGTGGCGGGTTCGGTGGAGCAGTTCCTCGAAAGCGGAATCATACCGAGATTGAGACTCAATGACCACTGCTTTGTGGTTTAAGTTTACACCAAGCGTAGGCTCAATATGGCTTCATCACAGTGGTCTCTGCAAAGGCTTGGTGGGTCGTGGTATTGTTGTAACTTGTTGTGGTCTAAGTCTATCTGAATCTAACCCTACCATCACCAGTCACGTGACAACCAAACAGAATGAGAATATCAGCGTATCATCATGTATCCCTTAAAGAAACACACACACACACACACAAACAGCATCAAACAGCTAAAGACATAATGTTCACCTCATCCCTTTGCCTTCTTGGTGAGCTGCTTCTCGAGGCTCTTCACGTCGGTGGGATCTCCCAACTTCACCTGATCGCCCTTGGTGGAGTAGAGACCTCGCGCTTTGTCGACGGAGTGTGTAACAGAAACCACATCCAGTTCGTTGGGATCCGGTTCTGCCCACACAGTAACTCCATCCATATAACACTTCGTTTTTCTTCGTGCTTCTTCCTGCCTTGGGCCATACGCATCATCTCCATCTTCCTTGGTGGATGGTGCACTCACCAAATCTTTGAATGTCGATCTCATCCGCCGATCCGCCAGTTGGGTACAATACCACTACGCAAATCGTAAATGCAACTACCAAGAACTTCATGAAAGGATTGAAATGAAATGAAATGAATGGGTTGATCTCACGTGCTTTCACATATCAACTCACTCGTTGGCTAATGGCCCCATAAGTTCATCTGTGACCTTGAAGGTCCATCTCAACTGAAATCCCACAGCGCAGCAAAACGTAACGTCTGCGTACATCCAAACTGACTAGATCTTTCTGCGGCTGATACTCCAGTGATGCAGCTCTTTGCTGGCAACAACCACAAGCATGGTTCTGCAAATCGACCGCAGGAAGCGATCACCAAAAAACAGCTTCCAGGCGGCGTTTGATTGTAGATGGGCAGCCTGCTCCCCCAGTTCATCATCTCTCCCACCCAGGTCTTCTCATAGATTGGTGTTGACCTCGGACAGGCGACACGTCTGCGTAAAAAGACGACCATGCCTTGCTCTGAAGTGAAAACACATGGTATGTCCGACATGTCACAAGTTCGACTGTTGGGCGCTCGACGGAATTTCCTCGACGAGATGCCCATCCTCTTTGCAATGGATGCACTCCACGACCGCATCGTAGTCTGGCACCACAAAAGCCTCTGAACTTCCAGCTGTTCACCAGGTGAAAAGGATCTGAACTCGACATCGATGTCCTGCAACCTACTAGCGATGGCCTCCACCCTAGAAGCGATGTCCTCTTCAATGACGCTTTCTCTATGAAATTGCAGCAGTGTTGACCTTCCAGTTTGAGAGGTTTCGGGATGGCTGTAACTGGTGCTACCAGCTACCCGGTAGCGACCCTCAAAACGAGCTTCTACCGCACTTGGCCAACGGGAACGTTTTGGACCATTTTGTGTGAAGAGTCGGCCGTGGCGAACTTGGGCCCCGATGTTGTCGCACCAACAGTCTACGAGCCAGTCAAATCCTCTGCACATGACATGTTGTGTAGATCAAAAGGGATTGAGAATGATTGAGATATTGATTGATGGTTGTTTAGCGCTGAGCCTATCCCTGGTCCTGTAGATGGGAGGTGGTGTGCGGCCGTACAAGCATGTGTCCCGGTTTCAAAAACCCCAAACAAGGACTTCCTAGCACAGGAAAAGAAGCGCCTTGGTTCAGATTGCTTAACTTCCCACCTTCCGAACCAAAGCAACCAAAACAACAAAAAGGGCTTCAAAAAGTTCTTCAAAGAAGCTCCTGCTACGTGGTGGGAAGTCCTTGTCGCAAACGAACGTTGCTCTACTGCACTCGCCTTCCCGCACTAGCTTCCTCATCCTTCCTACCTCTCAATGGCCTACCTCTCAGCCCCGAGTCTACCCCGCAGGTCTACCCTTTCTAAAAAAGGCCTAAAGTTCCAAAAGGAAAGTCCTAATTGCATATCGATTCTATAAACACTAAATAAAGCATATATATATATTATATATGATTATATATGCAGTTAATTATATGCATATATAATGTTTGTTGTTTGACAACTTGAAGAGTTGTTTGCTTCGAAAACGCTGGGACCTACCGCCTGTCGTGCTCCGAGCGGCCATGAGCGAGATGCGTCCCAGGTCTGGATGCCCAGGCTTGGGATTCGGCACCCGATGCACCACATGCTTCAGGCCTTGAGTGACGACATCAGAGGCTTCACAACTTCAAGGTCTTCATGAAGACAAGATCTTTGCGCATTCTCTTCTTCATATTAAACATTTACACGCCTAAGTCTTGCCTACAATGCTAAAAGTGAAGTTCCGTCGACTTCGAGTCGACAGGGGATAGAACACGTACAAGCGGACACAAGTCGAACAATTCGGGACTTATTGATCGAACAATTTCGCCCTGTGACGGGAGGAGAAGGACGTGCAAAGGATCCAGGACCCCGCCAGTGTCGAAAAGCCAGTGCCAATTTCAGAAAGAGTTCAAGAGTTTTCAACGCCAAACACAAGTGCCACGCTAGTAGTAACAAGTGCCTCACTAGTAGTAACAAAAAGCTATTAGAAACAAGTGCCTTACTACGCTTACTAGTAGTAACAGGTGCGTTACATGGAAACTCATGGTACCTCAAGACCCTGAGATTGAATCCCCAGGGAGCAGTCTAGACCAGTGGCGTCCATTGGACCAGCGGCTCATGATCCTGAGCAACGATGTGTTTGATCAAAAACAATTCCTACTTGGACCAATTATGGCGTGCGCTGTCCCTACACAATTGTAGAGATGCTGTGGTTGAGAAAGCTCTGAACGTGAAAAGAAGGAAACACACGATTCCTCGGTACCAGCAGTAGCACTGTAGCAAATGCCTTTGGTTGTCTGAGCATATACGCCTCAATCTGAAGATTAGAGACATCGTCTGCTTCCGACCGGGAAGCTCAGAAAGTCACGACCAAGATTGTATACTTGGTGAATAGGATTGACACATGTGAAATGGCCCGGAAAGCCCTTGGCTTCGTAGTTCCGTGAAAGAACCTCCTTCGATCGGCCAAGCACTCGTGACGTGAGAACAGTTCCAAAACCCGTGAACGCGCAACTCATGGAGCCAAACACACGGGTCACCCTCTGGGGAGGCCAAAGAATCAGACGAACAAGTACAGTCTACAATAGAAAGGTGTACGAGCCGTTGAGGTATTGAAGTATCATCCAAAGGGCGGAAGTTTTTTCTTGTACAATATCACAAACCAAACCGCTTTAAATGCCGCTATATGCCACTGCTACAGGATGACTCTGTAGCATGCCCAGGCAATCTTTCAGCAAAACCGAAAAAAGATTTCAATCGATGAACCATAGCTGTGATTGTGTGATGAATAGTGATCCAAAAGCAACACATGCCGATGTGGTGCATGGTGATTTAATGTGGTGTCTGATCTGGTGGATCTAGAGACCTCAACTTTCTACACTTGGAAATCTCTACTCTGCAACCCTTCCAGAAACGCCCGACAGTGTTGGACTAAAAAATTCGGCCTGTTTTGATCATCACCCGTCCCGGGTTCCAAGGATCTCTCCAACGTTGATGATGAATCCACCAGGAGGGCGTCGAACTTTTTGCCACTCAGTTGAGCGTCCCTGGGAGTGAGCTGAAGGGCCGATCAGGGCGATCGCAACACACCAACTCTCTGGCAAGGACTTGGAATCGGTGAGGAGTAAGTTTTTATAGCCTCCACTGGATGAACGCCCACTTGCGCACTCACAGGTTTGCTCCTCCATCTCAGCTCGTCCATCAACGCCATCGCCTGTCTCTTTGTCCACCAGGATCTGCAACCCACCCTGTGCCCAGTCAGGAGATTGAGCAGGGGTCAAAATTGAGGCAGGCGACGTGATCGTGAAGTATATATATATATATCTATATATTCGTGATCGAGTCAAAAAGGATCCTGGACCAGTTTGGTTGTACAAATGGCTACACAAACAACATTGAGGAATCCCTGTAACACATAAAAACAAACCAAACCCTACACCTGACTCAGAGAAAATCCTCTTTGTCTGACCTGCGCATGTGTGGTTCAATGACTGTTTCGCTTTCTGGGGTCAGCGACCGCAAGCTGTTCAACAAATTGTTCGATTGATAACTAGAAAGCAAATTGTCAACAGCGTGAAATGCAGCCTAAGCAACATCAAGGTCCGGTATGAACTTACACGTTCACACATTGATGTTTCGCCGTACCTTCTGTAGGTATCAAAGCACTACTCAACACAGAGCATCCACACTGTGTCCAGAAGTGGAGACGCACACACATAGGCCATACCGCCCAGCATGGCTTGGACGCAGTGGACGATCCCGGTCGCCTCCGAATCTTCATCACCAGCGTCACCTGACGTGAAAGTCCCTGCAGAATTCTCATTACTAGCGTGGCACTTGTTACTAGCAGCTTCTTGTTACTACTAGTAAGGCACTTGTTACTAGTAGCGATGCCCTTTGCTCCTAGTAGCGTCCTTGCTCCTAGTAGCGATGCCAGGAGCCCCTAGTAGCGTCCCTGCAGACTGTCCAGGTTTGTCTGCAGGACATTGATCCACTAGTTAGAGCGGTGTGCAATGTGTGGCTTGTCTCAAGCCTAAGACTTGGACTAAGCAGTGCCACCAAGAAACATCAATTACAGTAATTTGCATGGATGGAACTGTTTGCAGGTATGGCCATGCGGTTCCAAGGTGATAAAGACATTTGCATAAAAGCTTTTGGTGACTTAAAGCGTTCAGGCCACAAGCTGGAAATCTGAACTCGCAACAACTCGAAGGCAGGCTCAAGGCAACAGCTAATGAATGGGCATCCTCTACTACATGCCCCACTCTTTAGCTTTGACTCGCCAGCAAGCGACTAGAACGACTAGAACAAAAACTCCCTGCTCATCCAGCAAACAGTGCACGAATTATGGAGATCCCTGAGTGGAATACCTGGGAACGGCGAAAGACCGTTGATTTTTTTCCAAGTTGCTGGTGGTGATTAATGAGAACAAAGTTCGATCCCAATGGGGCTGTATCCTCTCCTGTTCGCAATGACTCTCAGCAACTGAATCCCAAAGTGCAACCTCCCAACAGCTGGGTTCACAACCCGTGACACCATTCTCTTTGGTGCAGCTTGACTAACCTTGATAGCTCACTCAAACACGGAGCAACAAAAATAAGGTAGCCAGCCAGTCAGGGAATTCTACACAAGACCAACCTGCACAAACAGTACACTGAGACCGACAACAATGTTTTCAGGTTCAGTGTTGGTCTCAGGTTTCGCAGCTTGTTCAGAATCTCTCCTTGTCCTCTGCAGGAGCGACCTCTTGGGGTGGGTAGTGCGCAATGGTCACCTGAGTGTCCTATCCTATGCTGAAATGATCTATATAAATAAAAATAGATATTATATATATAATATATATATATGTTATGTTTATATCTGTCCGAAAAACAACAGGTTTAGAGACGGCAAAGTGATGTCCAGTACCTCATGTACACTCATAGAACCACTCGCAAAAGATATTCCTGGGATCACAGTTCAAGTCACGGGCCAAATTGGAGCCCGCTGCGATCGCGAAGAGAAGAAGTCCTCCAGTCATTGATGAGCCAGCAAACTGCCGAAATAAACATTTCTCAAAAACGCATTTGAAAACCCTCAGGGCGCTTCCTCATCCAACATGTCCTGTCTGGCTCATAAGCTCATAATTTGGTTTCAACTAGTCAAGAGTCAAGAGCAAGTTGAATGTAATAATACTTAGTCCATCAAGAGTGAGCCTGCAAACGGTCAAGTGTAGTGAAAAGCCACTTGGAACATGTTTTTACGACTCACCACTTTGTAAGCATTCTACACTATCCGCTTGGAAAGGAGTGGTCATGTAGGCTAAGCCCTTACCCCAATCAACTGCACATCCCAGCACATGAGCATCAAGCATTCTACACCATCTCATCCCATCCCCGCACATCCTTGGAAATCCCCAAGGCCAAAGCGAAAAGCCTCAGGTGTGCCGATTGTGATGTACTGTGATCCTGTATTTTTGTGAAATAAAGTGTGTGACGGTTCTAACATAGATAGATCCAAGGAACTCTTGCATGGTCGTCGCCAGCTTCTCCATCTCTCGGTAAAAGGCCCCGGTCACCTCCTGCAGCCCAGGCACCTTGCGAAAGCTTTGCTGGAGCCCAAATACAGTACTACTAACTGGTGTTCGGCTGTTTTTTGAAGATTCGCATTATCATGTTTTACACTGAATAACAATGGTTGCGTATCTGATTATCTATGATTATCTTGCTTATGAGGGTGGATCCTTAGAGGCAAGGCAAAACAGCCTGAAATGTCGAACGATATCCTCAAGTGGAGAACCAAGTGTCTCTTTGCATATGCACAGGTTCAAGCGACGATGGAGTCACTGACCTACCTCTGGATGAAATCCAGGCGGGATCCAGGGCCCATGAAGGAAACAGGAAACCAATGCACATGTCACTGGGCTGGAGTTGAGGCCTCAGCAGGCCACTGCTGCTGCTCGGGGTGCTTGGAGATGGAGCTGTAGAACTCCTGACCTTCCGCAGCCGGGCCGAGTGCAACACCAAGTTGCTTACCCCACCCGTTCTCAACCTTCTGTGGCAGGAGACTCCTCCTCTGTGTGTGAGTAACCCCCTTGCTTCTCACATGAAAACATATTGTCTCCTCAGTCTTCCGTGGTCTCCAAGCAAGTGCAAATGCGTCCTCCTGCTTTGAAATGGAGGATGAGGAGATCTGTCTGTTAGGTGAGGATCCATGACCTACACGCACATGATTGTGTCCAATCTTCTGCCTCTATTGGCGTCTCCAATCCTGCTTGATCGGTGTCACGCCTTCATCTGAGGAGTAGTAAGGATCCTTCCAGTCGATCGGGACTGTTGTGTTCTTCACCAGCAGCCACTCGTTCAAGATGTTCCCTGGTCAAGCCGAGCTGCCAAACCAGTTCAACATGTGGAAACCAATCATACATACAAAGACGGTAAAAACACACAAAGCAAGTCCTTTTCCATCAGCCATGAAACCAGGGAAACGGAAACATATTCAAGGCTGGGTGAACATGAGTCGGCAATTGTGGATATGACCAAACGGTATAGGATCACTGTTTCATTCGTGAGCGATCCAAAGCATCACTGATTTTGCTAGTGTCTCTTCGAGGGCTTGACAAAAGTTCTAATGGTTTTGGTGCTTTAGGTGCATGGATTTCATCGAGAACTCTCCCATGACTCCCATGACTCTGCGGTACCCCCTGATATGACTGGGGTTGCTTCGCGTAAGATTGAAAAACACATAGTAACACTTAAGAAGAACACTCCCAGGTTTGGGCAAACTCGCATTTGCTACAATTCTTACGATGCTACGAGCCCCAAAGCCCAAAGAGGCCCAAAAGCACTAAGCAAACATGTTACTACTAATTAATGGTGCCCTTGTTACTAGTAGCGATGCACTTGTTACTAGTAGCTTCTTCCTACTACTAGTAATGCCTTTGTTACTAGTAGGTTCTAAACATGTTCCCCTGGGCTATAGCTTGTTCCTCTAAGGTAAGATAGTAAGTTCCTGCCGCTGTCGAGCCTGGGTCGTCCTTCTGCTGGGTCTTGTAGAACTTTCCTCTGGTGTCAAGCCGTGCCAAGCCGTGCTCACAACAACCCAACAAATAAATATATAAACAGAATGGATGTCAATAGAACTCTGATACATCCGCTTCCTTGCTAGAGGGAAAATCATCTTCCCAACAAATAGTGTTTGTTGCCATGCTGGGAAGCGATTGTCAGCCGGAACACACAACCACGTATCCGACATGATTAATTAGATCCTGACCCTGACCCTTTCCGCAAACTAAAGATTAATACTAAGAACATATTGTTTTTCAATGGGTGAGGAAAACCTGTTCAAAAAGTCTCCTGTTCCAGCAAAGCCTGCTCACAATCTGTGGATGCCCCTGAAGGTGAACTATGCCTGGTATGGTTCCTGCACGGCATACTTCTTTTGCCACATCTATCCAAGCCCACACATGTTCTGCTGCCATGTATCCGGTGGGCACTGTGACTGCCCCGTAGGAACGGGGTGGATATCCACTGGGCTCACCATGTTTCTCCTGCGATGATCTTCTCTCAGCGGAAACTCACCCAGCGAGGTAATAAGATAAAGTCGTTCTAAATGAGGGAAGAAAAGAAGGACACAAGAGAAAAGAATGACGCAAGAAATGTCTAAATCTAAGGTCTTCAAACAATAAACAAAAACACACACACACACACTTGAGATATTGTGTACTGAACTGAATGCGGTGCCACACGCCAGCCTAGGTTAAAAAAA